AGCAAAAGCCGAAGAAAGCGACCATACCTCCTTCGACAACATTCGTGGCAGCCTCGATAAATCCCTGCTCGCTTGTCAGGGCATCTACGATCCAACTCAATCCGACAACGACCGACAGGATACTACCAAGAAGGTAGCATCCATATCGAAACTTCCGCCAGAACTCGGCCAGGAAACGCATCTACGCGAGACGCTCCTTCAACCAGGCCAAGTCACGCTTCATTGCGGCCACATGGTTCGCAACGTCCTTCGCTTCGTCGCCGCGCAGGTACTCGACATGCAACGAGATTGGGCCGCTGAACGGACTTGCTTTCAGTGACTTCCAGAATTGATCTGGCAGTTGGCCTTCGGTTACCGAACACCAAGCCGGACGGCCACCATTGCCTCGGAAGTCTTTGATGTAGACCGAACCGAGATGCGATTGCACCAGATTCCATTGAATGGGCCACGAAGTATTGCCTTCGACGCGAGCATGACCGATATCGAACGCCATCGAGACATACTTCGGATCGTACTGGCGAACCAACTGCATGATGTCCCAAATGGGGGCACCGACGTAGTGACTGCCAGAATGATTCTGATAGACGGCTTGAATGCCGATCTCTTCGTTCATTGCGGCGAGATCTTTTAGCTGAGCTCCCGCTTCTCGCAACTGTGGCACGACCGGCTTCTTCAAGTCGTAGCGATAATAGGCCATGCGGTATCGAGGAATCCCCAACTGCTGGGCAACCTTCAGGGTTTCCTCTGCATTGGGTGAATCGATGCTATTGATACTTGAGGTAAGAATGTCGATGGTCAGACCACGTTTCTTCAACGCTTCGACAAACTTCGGCAACTCGTCCGCCACATTCTTCGGTTCAATATGCCCGTTGATGCGAATGGGAGCCTCGATGCCGTCGTAGCCGATTTCCGCGACGCGATCGGCCATTTCTTCGTAGCTAAGCGGCTGCAAAAACTTCGTAAAGGTAATCAGCTTCCAGCGGCTCGGCGAAGGATCTGCGGCGGAAAGCGTACTTCCCATTCCAGCAGCGGCGGCAGTTCCCAGCGCGGTTTGAAGCATCTGTCGTCGATTCAAGTGAAGCATGGAAACTCCTCGTTAGTTAGAAACCGGCACGACTTTGCGTACCCGATGATTGTTCGTATCGCCGATGTACAACGCGTTATTTTGGTCGACACCGATGCCATGGGGCCGATCCATCTTCGCTTCCGTCGCGGGACCTCCATCGCCGGAGTAGCCACGCCCTTTCGGCCCAATACCAGCCACGGTACGAATGCGATCGTTTTCAACATCGATCTCGCGAATGGCCTGGTTCTCGGTATCGACGACATAGAGACAACCGTTGGGCGCTTTGACGATTCCCTTGGGACCATTCATGGTGGCCTCTTTCGCACTGCCGCCATCGCCGCTGT